CTCAGTTTCAATTTATATTATCTATTGTGCTGGCTTTACAAATAATTTTTCGCAGTCTTTTGCTGTACTGTACATTACTGTATGTATAAATTGTGAAGGACCTGAAATAAGGTGTAAGGAACTTTTGTAAATGAGACACATACAAAAAAAAAAAAACTTTAATGGTTAATAGGATGAATGGGAAAGTATTTTTGAAAGAATTCTATTTTGCTGGAGACTATTTAAGTACTATCTTTGTCTAAACAAACAAGGTAATTTTTTTTTTTTTTGTAAAGTGAAATGTTCTGCATGCCTAATGAAGCGTTTACAGTGTATTTAAGAAAGGGAAAGCTGTGCCTTTTTTTTAGCATCATAGACGATTTACCATTTTACAGTGTCTGTTGTAAATAACCACCGAGTTTTTCAGTTGTCTTTAAGCCTTTCTATTCTTCTGTATTCCGTTTCCCCTTTTGTCTGCCACTTGCAAGTACCTGTGAGCTGAGTACACTTTAGGACTCCAGCTTCTGCCTTCCCCAAGGAACGCTGTTGAGTTGTGTTTACCGCTTCATGAAGGTTTCATTTAACAAGACACAACAAACAAGTGGCTTGGGAGCCTTGGCAGCTTTAGGGCTGTAGCGTGAATCTGCCTCTTCTCTCGTCTACAAGCGAAAGTAAGTCATATGATATTGGGACTGGGAGGGGGAAAAAAGGGGGTTTAAAGGTTGCTTTACATCTACTTTGTGTTTCTTTCTTTGGGAGAAAATGCAGGCAACCTCTTACCCGTTCTTCCTGCTTCTGAAGTAGGGGAAGGTGAAAGGAACATATGTCCTAGGAGGGAGGGTCTCACCAGACTGGAATTGGCACAAGGCTGAGACTGGCAGATTACTGGTGGGGTTGACATCTTCAAAATGTACATCTTCTAAAGCCTTTTATAATGAAACTGCAGCTCCTACCAACAAATAACACCAAAAGTTCAACTCAATTCATCTGGTTCAGGCTCAGGTCTCTCTGCAGCCTGAAAGCATAAATGAGCATGTTTGGGGGCAGAGCTAACAGTCTGATTTCACAAGATAAACTGCTGAGAGCAGAGGCCAAAGGAATCTTTCCGAGAGTAATGATTAACATAAGTACTCACTTACTCATGGAAATCACATCCATTTCCCCAAACTCTCCCAGCGAACACTGAGGGAGGGAGCTGAGGTCCCTGAGAATACAGCATTCCACACTCACCACCCTTTCACTTCAGGCCTGTTAGGCACAAGCTTATGGGAGCACATTCACCCATGACAACATGACCCTGGTCTTTTTAAATGAACCTGCCTTACGTAATGGGAAACTTATGGAAGCTGTACTCAAGAGGGAAGGGGTCTTCTTACATACTTTGCAACTTCAGGAATTTAATTTAATCAACTGATCTTTAACTACAAACTGACATGCACAGCAATACGAAAGCCACCCGTGGAAGGCGATAAATACACAGCATGCAGACTGGGGGTTTCTGGAAAAGAAATGGATACAAATGCCGCTTTTTAGTTCAGACTTAATTTTTACAGAATTGGAATTTCAACTTAACCAGGTTTGGGATGAATACAGTCTGCATCAGCTTTTTGTATTAACAAAGTTACTGGCTTTTTCTGTCTCCAGGTAACTTTGCTTGATTAAACAGCAAAGCCATATTCTAAACTCACTGTTGAATGCTTGTCCCAGTCCAAATTGTCTGTTTGCTCTTATTTTTGTACCATATTGCTCTTAAAAATCTTGGTTTGGTACAATTCATAATTCACTGAAACTTCTTCATAGAATTAAAAAACACTAAATTAGTTTAAAAAAAGCAATTTATATCTTTATGCAAAAACGTATGTCTGTCTTTGCAAACGACTGTAAGCAGATTACAATAAATCCTTTACTTTAATCACCTGTTGTTTTGAAAGAGTTCATTTGGATGTCTGTGGAAACACTATAATATCCAACAGAATTCTGACTCTCAAATCTTCTGCATTATGCCCAGGTTGAAATAAGTTGTAATAGGCCATGTGTCGTCTTCTATTTTGGGAAGCTGCCATCTTCCAAGCAGTAAGATTTGGTTCTAACACATTCACTTACCTTAACTGGGCTTTTGGGGTCCCACACTGCCACCTTTGAGTTCTCCACAGTGCTTTCACTCATAACCTTTTGGGACTGTCAGTAAATGTGTCTCTTAACCTGGATTCTCTTCAAAGCCGTCTCTTCCACTTCTTTCATCAAAATGGACAAGGAAACATTTCGAATACAATAAGCCAACTGAAATATGGAAGAAATTGGCATTTGTTTCCTACTAATTAATTAATATCATGTAGTTCAATGAGACTACAAATGCCATGTCCCAACAAAATCAATCATCTTTAACAAATCACAAGACCATGGAGCTCCTTTGCTTTATCAGTTTCTTAATTAAAGGCATTCTCAGGGCTAGCATTCATTTTAAAATAATTTTGTTGGTGATGTGCCTTTTCAGGATTTTTTTAAAATAAAGGACACGTATAAAGGATTTTATACAAAAGTCATCAGAGTTCCAGGTAACTAAGATGGCTGTTTTAAGAACGAGTGACATGGTAGATCCTTGACAGTGAAACAGCCAGTTACACTCCATTGTACAAACAGGCATAATATACACAGTGATGAATATCTAATTAAGACTTTACTTCTTATCTTTAAAGCTCTTTAAGTAAGTAGAAATTATTTTTTGTCCCTTTTGTTAATGTTAGTACATGCTTTTTGATAAGTTGGGCAAAAAGTACCCAGATTAGAAGGCGTGTATTTCTAGCACTTTAATGTCAACTTGGCCAAATATGTAGTATAGTGATTTCTGTGGAAATGAGACTGTGCCATTCTAAAGAGAATGAAGTCATTAAAGCTATATTTTTATTTCCATTTCTCAGGGTAGACCAAGCCATCAGAACTTCCAGGATATGTCTCTATATCCAAAGTGAAGTGGATGGCGAGGGCAATTACCCAGGTTTTAAAAAATTAACTTGGATCCAAATAGCCAAAATGATGGCTTTTATTAAACACTGGGCATAGAAATCCCACCAACCTTGTTCTTCATGCCCCAAGATACAAGGTATGATTGGTCTCAAATTTAATCCCTTGTGCTGTCTCTACCAGGACTTGCACATTCCTTCTCGTGACAGATCTAATCTTCACTCTTCTAAGAGGCTATCCCTTGGTCTAAAGTCACAGAAACCCTTTCCCCTTGCAAAATCACATTTCTAGTAAGTAGGAGAAATTATTTTTAACCTGAGAAATCCACTTTTAGACCAACAGTATATTACTTTACTTTGCTGGGCTGTCCCTTGAACCGAGATCCAACGGTGCACAGGGGATATTTGAGAAATGGAGAACATAGTTTAATCAGGTAAAATGAAAAAACATATCCAGATCAAATTCAGCCTAAAACTAGGTTTGGGGATGTTGTGTGTGCCACATGGTGGCAATAGTATCTCCTTTAAAGAGCCCCTCTTTTGAGAGGACCCTAGGATGGATAAAGAAAGAGGAGTACTTGCCTACTTTAGGATAAGAAGTGAGCAGACTGATCTCAATGTGCAGATGGAGGGAAATAGAGGACAAAGGAGTGGAATTTTCGATTTGCATAGAGAATAGAGGATTATTCATCACTAAGAATTAAGATTAGCACCGAGGATGAATTTCGCCATTATGGCAGTTTTTAAAAGTTGGGCACTTAAACAGTCTGCTTTTCTGGAGATAGCTTTAATATAGGGATAGAAATATGGCAATATAATAGAAGGGGTGCTGAATTTAAAATTACATGGACATGGGTTCAAATTCTGCCTTTCCTACTTGCTGCCTCTACATGACCTTGGGCATGTCCCTGGGCCTCATATTTCTTATTTATAAGAGGAGACTGGACCAATACTAGGGACCCTTCTAGTCCCGTGGTCCTAGAGTGGAATGTTGACACCACTCTCCCCCACCATCTTCCATGTGTATCCACTGGGTGCCCACACCAAATATATATTATGCTACCCTAGCATGTGAGGAAGGGGAGATTATTGATGCCACCAACATAACATAGCATATGAATTGCAACCAAGCACAACGATGTATTCTGAAACTACTCATCTAAAGCCTAGCTGAGAAATTCAGATCTCCTTGAAATCTATTCCAGGAAGGAAAAAAATGTTTTAAAGTTGTTCCGGTCTTGTTTTAAGAAATTATTAGCTATTGGAGCCTTTAAATCAGTAAGTTTAATACTTTATCACTACAGCCATTTCAGCATTCTGTGTATATTAGCTACACACAAATAAGTGGGGGCAGCAGTAAATTAAAGCAGCACTATGAGGAAGATGGTGAAGTTTCAGTATGTCATGTGGAACCTCCCCCCTCCTACAAAGAATAACGAGGAAAACAAGTTCAGAATAGGCTTCTGGAATAAGACCCAGAGACAGAATGGGAGAAGAGACCATGTGGTACCTATGAATTTTTTCATGACATCAATCAAGCAGCATCACTTAGAGGGTTTGCGTAAGTGAGGGAACAATTAAGAAAGTGACTGCACTGGATGGGTGCAACTAGGTGGCACTGTAGTGCATGGAGCACTGGGCCTTGAGCTAGGAAGACTCATCTTCTCAAGTTCAAATCTGGCCTCAGACACTTACTAGCTGTGTCCAGTATCTTTACCAAGAAAACCTCAAATGAGGTCAGGAAGACCCCATTGTGGACACAACTGAAAATGACTGAACAACAACGAGTCACTGGATGATATTCAGGACTTCAAGAAACTGTGATTTTATATATAGCTCTATAGAAGGGTATAATATTCATGGATTTCTGTGGCTATAATTTATTATCCAGTGGCCATATTTCTAGTAATCAGGCTCTCTGGCCTGGGCCAGGCTAGTTCTTGGACAATAGATAATGTCCATGGCTGGACTTCCCCCGTCCCAAGAAGTCTTTTCAATATGGTTGCAACACTTGTCAGAGCTTGCACTTTATTGACATAAC